CCCCCGCAGCAGGAGACTCAGGCTCTCTCAGGGTCAGAAAAGCCGCATGGACGGCCTCCCTCTTTGACAGAACTTATGCCCGTTTCACAGAAGCTCTCAGAAACCCCAGCAGATAGCTGATGAACAGAGCCTGAGCACTCTTCCGAACTGCTCTGCCAATCCCTCAGCACAGTTTCCCTAAAGCTTTGGAGGGCCCCTTTGAGCATCCAACACCCATTCTCAAATTTTGCCCTGGCCCAGGCCAGCAAAGGTGTGGTGTTTAGTAGAGTTGGCAGTGAGAGATTCCTTTCTTGGCCCTACCATTTAGTAGCTGTGTGACCGTGGGCAAGTAATTTACACTTTACAGCCTAGGTTTCCTTACCTGCAAAATGGAGATTAAAAATACCTATCTCAAGGGTTATTATAATAAGAACTACATGAGAAAGTAAAGGTTCCTCGCACCGTGCTAGGCGCAGAGTGGCCGCTCATTCGTTCATCCATTCACTAGTTCCGAACCTATCAAGTCTTCTTCATCTTCCCAGCTCCCTCTTCTCTTGGTCTCTGGAACCTCTTTTCCCCCACAAGGTGGCCTCCCTGGTATCTTCCTTCTATCCCACATCCATTTTTCCAGACTGTCCTGATCCTCTCAATCAGATGCCACACAGACACCTACCTCTTCTCCCCCACATTCACCTTACCTAGCGATTGGACTTCCAAGAACAGCAGCAGCAGCAAGAGCGAGAAGCTTCCCCAGCACAGCTCCAGCCCTGAATCCACCTGAACCACTTGTCCCCGCCCCCACTCTCAGCCCGTCTCCAGGATTGGGTCGTTTCCATTAGTCCTCGCTCTGATTGGCTGTTCTGGTTCTGCTCGAGCAGGAGATGGGGCGTGAACCCCTTCACTGCCAATCAGCGGTTGCCGCTGCCCAAGCCACACCCCCGGTACGCCGCTCTTGCAGTGACCCCTCGTGTTGAGCGTGGCGGAAGAACTCCAGGTTCGGAGCCAATCTTTTTGCGGCGGAGGTAAAAAGAGCGGAAAAAAGAAGTCAAGACTTCTGCGGAAAGCAGGGCCGTGCGCCTGCGCTGCGCGGAGGTGACGACAATTGTCCGCGCCCGAAGCCGAGCGTTGTCCGCGCCGGGTGGCGGGCGCCTGCGCAGTGGCTCCGAGCGGGCGGTTGCTTGTTGGTTGTTGTAGTAACGGGGGAAGCAGCGGTCGGCGGCCGCCTTGAGCCGGGCTAGGGAAGGAGGAGGGAGGTAGGCGCAGAGCGCTGTCCCCGCCTGCCCGCCCAGAGCCATGGGCAGATGAAACAGGTAAACGCCTGCGCCGGCGCACTCCTATACCGGAGGGAGGTGCGCTCCCAAGTCTGGGCGGGCGCCATCCGCTGCACTTCTCTCTCAGAGTCCGGGAGCAGCTGCTGGCTTCCGGGCGCGCTGGGCTGAATCTCTGCGGCGGAGTCTCCCGCGTCCTTACTGTAGGGAGCATCTGAGGACCTACCTGGATTGGAGTGAGCCGGGGGTGGGACTGAGGGCCCGATCCCTTTAGGGCGAGGACGCTCCTTGGGCGAGTGTCCTTAATCTTCTTCCGATCGCCCTGTCTCTCCCTGCTCTGCTGGCAGCCTAGGACAGGTTGGCATCCCTTCCTCGCTTGGAGGTTTTGTGTGTTTCGTATTAATTTAAGGGACTTGCAACATTTTGGGAAATACTGAGAGGTCCCGTTGGGGGTACTCGGAAGAACGCCTTTGAGATTGTTAGATATTCGCCGAATATGTGTAAGGATCGTTATCGGAATTGGCATTTTTTGCCCTATTTACGTTCTTATCACATATATTATTAATACATTGAAAAATGAGGTTTGGAAAGATTGACATTAAGTGGTTATCTTTGAGTAATGGGATGATGGTCATTAAAACATTTTCATTTTCTTTACCTGTAATTTCTATTCCATCCAAAAAGACACGCAATGAACATGTACCTTTTCTCTATTAAAAATATCTTAAGTTAGAAATATGCTAATTTTAATGTCTATTTGATATTTGGATCATAGTTTGTGATTTTTAGTAAGGGCGAATAAATTTTGAGAGTGTGGAAGGACAGTTGTTTTTTTTTTTCCCAGCTATTTATGACCGTGATTCAGCAGAATATATTCATTTTTTGGTTTAGTGGTTGAATTTGTTTTAGCGGAAACATAAGAGTATTTTACCTGTGCTTGGCATAGAATCTAAAGAAATGTTTGCAAGGATCTTAATACTTGCGTTTTTATTTTTAACTCACGTCAGGGTTTTCTAGCAAGGAACCTATGTTTTAGGCAATCAGCCACCGACCTCAGACTTTCTTAAGTAAGTGTATCCTTTTATTGCACGTTAGATTTAGTATGTAAAAGAAAAACGAGAAACTGAAACTTCACAGCAGCTGTTCAAATACAGAGGACAGACAGTATGTTTGAAAAAAAAATCTTGATTTTTGTGGCATATGTGAAGCACTGTGAGAGAAGGTAAGCCTCTAGAGGTTTGACAGTATTTAGGTAAATATTCATTTTCATTACTTGGAGGATCATCAGCAGTAATGAACAAAAAGACAACTGCATTCTGTTTCAGGTCATTTGGCTTTCTTGCAGGAATCTGTGCCACCCAAATTGTTTGATCCAGTGAATCTGCAAGGAAAGGTCTCTGAGGCCCCCGTCTGCTGACTGCATGACAAACTCTAAAGGAAATGCCAGTCGTGATGGCCCGGGACCTGGAGGAAACAGCATCATCCTCAGAGGATGAGGAGGCGGTAGGCCAAGAGTAAGTAATAGCAAGCCTGCTTTTGACCCTTTGAGTTCAGGATGGAAAATAGTTCTCTTTTACTCAAATCCTCTTTTACCCAATATCCTTCCTTTGGTGTTGTCTGACTCTGGTTTTAGTTTTCATACGTGGTCTAATTTAAGATCTTATTATTGAGTGACCATCAGCTATCTGAAATGAGATAAGGCTCTGTTTCTGGGTTCATGAGTGAACATCGGCTCTAGACGTTGCAGGTAGTAGCTCTTAGTCAACTCTTGATCAGAGCTCCTAACATAGGAGATTTTGAAATTTTTAGATATTGAAGAAAAGTAGGTCTCTCAATTCTGTGACATTGGGTATTTTCTCAGTAGCCTTTAGGATGATAGAATGATGATAATAAGAAGTTATTTGAGGGCTTCCCTAGTGGTGTAGTGATTAAGAATCCGCCTGCCAAGGCAGGGGACATGGGCTTGAGCCCTGGTCCGGGAAGATCCCACATGCTGCGGAGTGGCTAAGCCCATGCGCCACAACTACTGAGCCTGCGCTCTAGAGCCCGCGAGCCACAACTGCTGAGCCCACGTGCTGCAACTACTGAAGCCCACGCGCCTAGAGCCCGTGCTCCACAACAAGAGAAGCCACCGCATAAGAAGCCCACGCACCGCAACAAAGAGTAGCCCCCGCTCGCCGCGGAAGCCTGCACGCAGCAACGAAGACCCAACACAGGCAAAAATAAATAAATTAATTAATTAAAAAAAAAAAAAAAAAGAAGAAGTTATTTGAGCAAGTGTGGAGCGGGACATTAGAATTCTATAGCCTGTGCTGAGTCTGTTGAGACACATGGCTTTCCTGAGTTCTTTTAGATAAGAGTCAAGTTTCTTCATTGCTGGATTCTCATAATAATATAAATGAATGATAGTGATAAGTGTAGCTGCTAAAGGTGATGGTAAGATCTTTAACTGCTGTATCTCATTTAATCTAAAGATGTTATTATTCCCACTTTATTAAGTTCAGCCCCACAAATATCAAAGAACTTCCTCAGGGATGCATAGAGAGTGATAAATTGAGATTCAGACCTAGCCTTCCTGGATTTTGAAGCACTTAGATGTTTTGCCTCCTTTAACATTAATTATTACTTGCACAGAGAATAAAGAGAGAATATGGCTTAAAGGTAACATTAGTTTTTAAGATTCTCTGTATAAGTCCACTAGGATTCATGTAACCTGAAAAGTGGGGATGATATCTCCCAGGCTGCTTTTTTTCTTTCTTGTTAAAATTTATTATTTTTTTTATTTTATTTTTTTTATAATTGTGTTTATTTATTTTTACTTGTTAACAGTTTTGCTTTATTTATTTATTTATGGCTGTGTTGGGTCTTCGTTTCTGTGCGAGGGCTTTCTCTAGTTGTGGCAAGCGGGGGGCCACTCTTCATCGCGGTGCGCGGGCCTCTCACTCTCGCGGCCTCTCTTGTTGCGGAGCACAGGCTCCAGACGTGCAGGCTCAGTAGTTGTGGCTCACGGGCCCAGTTGCTCCGTGGCATGTGGGATCTTCCCAGACCAGGGCTCGAACCCGTGTCCCCTGCATTATCAGGCAGATTCTCAACCACTGCGCCACCAGGGAAGCCCCTCCCAGGCTGTTTTTGGGGGTATAGTTAGGATCAAATAGAATAATGTGTATGAAATTACTTTTAAATGATAAAGTGCCATACAAATGTTAAGGCATTATTTTTATTGGATTTTATATTGAATTTAAAGTGTATTATTATAAAGTAGAAGATTACATTATTTAATGTAATTTGAAAAAAAATTATTGAAGCATTAGTAAAGCTTTGGGGAAAGGCTTCTCATCACTATTAGATCATAGAAAATAATAGAGATTTGATATTATATTTGGGTCATTCTCATTCAGTGTAATTAAAGGGATAATTCTCTCTTGTCACTTTGCCTTCTTGTGACTTTTTGTTTTCTGTGTGCTGCCTCTTACCCACTTCACAAAAATTTTAACTTCTGCTTCAAACATCAGTCTTTCTGATTCAAGATCTTTTGCTTCATGACTGTCTCTTTTATTAGTGGTCTTATAGGTTGGGCCCAACAAGTATTAGGTTGAACTGTATGAAATTGCTATTTTGGTAGGTCAAGAACAGTCAAATATTGAGAATTGTAGGTGGTTCAACCTAATATTTTAGTAAGCACTCAATAAATGCTTGCTGACTGAGTGACTAACTTATTGAGTAAATAAATGGAGGCTTCATGCTTTAGATCACCTTAGGTCTTTTAAGTGCTTAAAATACACTTCATTACAAAGAATACCAATTGCATTGAGGTGCAGTTATCAGGAGTTTTTAAAAAACCAAACTTGTGGTATAGTAATATGTATGTTTTTATTAATACATTAAATAACAAGGTCATTCATTTGAAACATGAGAAAGTTAGATTTTATTTTCTAAAGACAGCACCATGAAGACTGCTTTTGCTTAGTTTGCATAAGACCATCATACTTGGGTGGTCTTTGATTAACACTTAAAAGTGGGGAATACCGAGAAACATCATAGATGTCTGGATCACCACTGTGAAATGTCACCATTTGGTAGCTGAATGATTGCTTGAGAGTGAAGAGTTGCCAAATTGTTGTCCATCCTCATCACACCAGATGAGAAGACTGTAATCACAGGTGATCTAGTGGCAATTTTAATAACTACCATAACTTATAAGCAGTGATAAATGTCAGTGATATTTTGAGATGTCTGCAACAACTGTAATTTGGTATAATAAAATCTGTAATTTCAGATAGAGTCAAAAACACAGGTAATACTATTATTTTTGTGTTTGGTGCCTGTATTCGTAATTGAGAAACATTAAATTTCTAGTAGAAGTTAGTGAAAATACATGTGTCATTCCACCTTCCCCCCGCCCTCCCCATCCAAATTCACAGACCTTATGGCTCCTCTTCCTTTTAAACTCCTACTGTTGAGTTTTGATTGTTTATGTTCCATCAGCTCATGTCTATCAGATACTTGTTTTATACGTTAGGAATCTTAAGTCAATCTTGTTCACACCTGGAACAACATGCTTACATTTTTAAAGTTTTGGAAGTTACAGGGTCTTAAATCATCTAAGGATGTTGACTTGATCCAAAGATATATATCCATGGATATCTGCTAGATGTGCTCAGAACCCTAGGCTGTATTAAACTATTGATGCCGTGCAGTCCTGGACATTAGAGCTAGAAACTGTCCAGGCATCCTTGTTTTGCATGGCATTATTTCAAATAGTAAATGTAAAGGGCCTCTTTTTCTGTATTTTGTTTGGGGTTCCCAAATATAAATTTATATAGACATGTGGAAACATTAATTTGATGTAAGGTTTCTTTAGTCACTAAAAAAAATATTTAATTCTGATTGTAAAAGCTGACTTTAGATCAGTTACAAAGATCATCAACAAATTGTTATGTAGTGAGTGCTATAGTTCAGTGAAAGAATACATCACTGTGGGCTGGAGGAGCTAAGGAAGGCTCCAAGGAGGTGGTGAGGTGAGCTGGGCTTTAGAGAATGGGATTAAATGAACAGAGAAAAGTGGGGAAGGCATTTCCAGCAGGGACATTGGTATGAATGAGGCACCGAGGCTTTGAGTTATGTAGGCTGGATCCCAGGAGTGAATAATATCTATTCCACATGAAACTGCTTCTTAAAAACCAAAACATTCTTAGGCTTTCAGTAAAGTAAACCCTAAAACTGGCCTACTTTGGTTATTAGTCATCCAAGTTTTTTGTTCTTTTATGTCTGTAAAAGCATAATTTCTTAAAATGTACCAGTTTCTGGTGTAAATGAAAATTTAAAGTCCCAATTTTCAGCTTCCTAATCATTTTGAATCTTTTTCCTTTAGCACCACCTGGTGGGAGCATGCTTTTAATGACAATGCAACGTCTGCCTTATGTGTGTTTGGGTCGTCCTTACTGAACTAATGATTTGTCTACTACCTCTTTTCTCTTTTCAGAGGTTGTAAGTGAAAAGATTCTGTGTCAGGGATTTGGCTTTCTATAGATAGTACGGTTAAGGGCTTGGCTCTTCTCAGCTGTGTATGTTTATTGTGTTCCTGACTCTTGTCAGGCATTTTTACCTTTTATCCGTAATCCATTGTTTGTAAGTGCTAAGGCACAGTGGAGCCAGTTTGCAGCTAGAGATGGATTGACAAGGAACTTTCTATAGTTTCCAGAGTTTCTGTCTAAGACTTGATAGTTCAGGCTGCCTAATTTTTCCTCTGTCCTCTGACTTAGAAATATAGTGAAAAAAATTAAAGTTGGAAGAGAGCACAGGAATCATCTGGCCCTGCACCCACATTTTACAGGCGTTTAAGATTAAAAAGCAAGCAAACCACACACAAAAAATCCTTCTTGCACCCTATAAACACCAATTTCTCACAAATGGGCACTGTCACCCAAGTCAAATTGCAAGAAAAATAAGCATCCACATTCCATTTCTAGAAACCAGGAAATGAACTAGGTATGGTGTTCTCTGCTTTCCTCAATAAAGCTCTTGGCAGCTCATCCCAAGTCTAAAGCCTGCCTCACCTCTAAGATTGGTAGCCTGGCAGCCTGTGCATTCAAAGCATGGATCTGTTTAAACCTGTATTGGGAGGGTCTAACTTGGCCCTGAGGTTTGTGGTATGGCCTTTGTTAAGGGGTGTGGTCATGTGAGTTTTCGAGAGCAGCCTGAATCTTGGCTAAATGGATCTTATTCCATAAAAGGAATTGATTAATTTCAGTTCCCAAAGGGTTGAGTTTAAGGTGTTTATACAAAAAAATCACTGAAATGTGTGATTAGGGAGATGGAAGGGTAGAAAGAGCACAGACACTTGGGTTCTAATACCTGTTCCTTTGCTTAACCAGCTGTATGACCTTAAGCAAACTGCTCAACCTCTCTCAACACGTTTTCTTCAGTTCATAGTGCAGGCAAGAGGATTAAGTGAGATAACATGTGAAAGCTCTTAGTGTAATTCCTGACACATAGTAGGGACTCAGGTCATTTCTTTCCTACCTTCATGCACTAAGGCAGTTGGAGATTTTTCTCATCTGTGAATAAATACACATCTGTCTGAGATGGATTAAACAGAGATTTCTGGAAGATGGGAAGAGAATAAAGTCAGAGGTCCTTTTCTGGAGGAAAACATTGTTCCGTTTGGTATAGGCTTCCTTTAAAATATGTGGTTTTAATTGGGGTACTTGTATTAATTTAGGGTTCCTAGCTCAGAATCTTAGGATGGATCATCAAATTGGCTTAAAAAGGGACTATAGGGTGTAAAAGTGGTCTGTCAATTATTGTGACTTTTAGTTAGGATCCTTATTTGTGCCAGGGACTAAGACGTAAATTGTCCTAAATAATAAAGGGAATTTATGAACTCATATTTAGGAAAGACTTGATTCTGCAACTGCACGTTTACCACTCAGGATCTCATTTCTCTTGTTCTTTCAGTCAGGCTCCCGCAGACTTTCTCCTTTACCAACAGCTCCAGGCTCTCCTTCCAAGGTCACAAAATGACACTTGCACTTCCAGACCTCATTCTCTCTTTTTTTATTTTTTTGTGGTACGTGGGCCTCTCACTGTTGTGGCCTCTCCCGTTGCGGAGCACAGGCTCCAGACACGCAGGCTCAGCGGCCATGGCTCACGGGCCCAGACGCTCCGCAGTACGTGGGATCTTCCCGGACCGGGGCACGAACCCGTGTCCCCCGCATCGGCAGGCTGACTCTCAATCACTGCTCCACCGGGGAAGCCCGACCTCATTCTCTTACACCATCAAGGGGAGGAGGCCATTTCTGCTGCAACTGCTACAGAAGAGAAAGCATCGCTTTCTTAGAGGGTCACATGACATATCTCCTGACACACTGGCTCCAGCTGGTTTATGTCCTCATCCCTGAACCAGTAACTATAACTGGGGGATGGAAAACCCTGATTGGCTAAAGCCAGTCAAGACCCATCCCTACAGCAGGAA